TGCTATACTCCGGTCACGAAGAGGAAAATGCTCCACACACTCAGGGAGTTGCTCTAATGCTGTCCAAAGTAGCACGCAATGCACTTATAGGATGGGAATCTCACGGATACAGAATCATCAAAGCATCATTCGAAACAAAGAAGGAGGGGATTACAATGAATGTTATCCAATATTATACACCCACCAATGATAGCAACGACGAAATTAAAGATCAGTTCTACGAGCGGCTGCAGTCAATCATTGAGAAATGCCCAAGAAAGGACCTAACTATTCTGATTGGAGATCTAAATGCCAAAGTCGGAATAGACAACACTGGATATGAAGATATTATGGGACGACATGGACTGGGAGAAAGAAACGAAAATGGAGAAAGATTTGCAAATCTATGTGCATTCAACAAATTGGTCATAGGAGGCACAATATTTCCACACAAGCGTATACACAAGGCTACATGGATCTCACCGGACCACACTACAGAGAACCAAATAGATCATATTTGCATCAACAAGAAATTCCGAAGGACAACGGGAGATGTGAGAACCAGGAGATGGGCGGATATAGCTTCACATCACCACCTAGTTGTGGCCAATTTAAAACTGAAGCTAAAGAAAAACTGGACAAACTGCACTACAAAGATTCAATACATCCTTCCTTCGAGATACCAACAAAATCAACGAATTCAAGATACCTCTCAACAACAGGTTCCAAGCCTTACAGGATCTACTAGAGAAAGAAGAAACTATTATGGAGGACAACTGGTAAGATATCAAAAAGCATTAGCTTCAACGTGTAAAGATGTTCTGGGCCTCAAAAAGCATCATCATAAGGAATGGATCTCTATGGAAACACTGAACAGGATCAAGGAAAGGAATAACAAGAAGGCAGCAATTAACAACAGCCGAACACGAGCAGAGAACTTCCAAGCACAAGCTGAATACATAGAAGCAAACAAACAAGTGAAGAGGAGCATTAGAGCCGACAAGAAGAAATACGTTGAAGAACTAGCAACGACGGCGGAAAAAGCTGCAAGAGAAGGAAATATGAAACAGCTTCACGATACAACGAAGAAACTAGCAGGGAAATACAGTAAACCAGAGAGGCCGGTCAAAGACAAAGAAGGCAGGAAAATCACCGAAATTCAACAACAGCGTAACAGATGGGTAGAATACTTCGAGGAACTCCTGAATAGGCCGGCTCCAATGAATCCACCGGACACATAAATCTTCCTATAGATGTCAATCCACCAACTATGGAAGAAATTAGAATGGCCGTCAGACAAATCAAGAACGGGAAAGCAGCAGGACCCGACAACATACCAGCTGAAGCACTGAAATCAGACATCGAAACAACCACAAGCATGCTTTATCTTCTATTCAAAAAGATTTGGGAGGAGGAACAAGTGCCGATGGACTGGAAAGAAGGACACCTCGTCAAGATTCCAAAGAAAGGAGATCTGAGCAAATGTGAAAACTACAGAGGCATATCAGGGAAAGTCTTCAACAGATTGTTACTGAACCGGATGAAGGATGCAGTAGACGCCCAACTTCGAGATCAACAAGCTGGATTCCGTAAGGATCGGTCGTGCACAGACCAAATTGTGACACTACGGATCATCGTCGAACAATCAGTTGAGTGGAACTCGTCACTATACATCAACTTCATTGATTATGAAAAGGCATTCGACAGTGTAGATAGGAGGACATTATGGAAACTTCTTCGACACTACGGAGTTCCTGAGAAGATTGTCAATATTATCTGGAACTCATACGACGGACTACAGTGCAAAGTAGTGCATGGAGGACAGCTGACAGATGCATTCCAAGTAAGGACCGAAGTCAGACAAGGCTGTCTACTCTCTCCCTTCCTCTTTCTTCTGGTGGTCGACTGGATTATGAAGACCTCAACATCTGAAGGAAAACACGGAATACAATGGACAGCTCAGAACCAATTAGACGATTTGGACTTCGCAGATGACCTAGCCCTCCTATCACGTACACACGAACAGATGCAGATGAAGACAGCCAGTGTAGCAGCAGTCTCTGCATCAGTAGGCCTCAGCATACACAAAGGGAAAACTAAGGTCCTCAAATTCAAAGCGGAGAACAGCAATCCAATCACACTTGATGGCGAAACTCTGGAAGATGTAGAGTCCTTTACATACCTGGGAAGCATCATCGATGAACAAGGAGGATCCGATGCAGACGTAAAGGCGAGGATCGGCAAAGCAAGGGACGCGTTCCTACAAATGATGAACATATGGAACTCAAAACAACTGTCAACCAATAACAAAGTGGGAATCTTCAATACGAATGTGAAGACAGTTCTAGTGTACAGAGCTGAAACGTGGAGAACTACAACAACCACCATCAAGGAGGTACAAGTATTTATAAATAGCTGTCTACGCAAGATACTCAACATCCATTGGCCGGATACCATCAGCAATAGCCTTCTGTGGGAGAGAACAAACCAACTTCCAGCTGAAGAAGAAATTAGGAGAAAGACGATGGAAATGGATAGGACATACATTACGCAAATCGTCAAACTGCATCACGAGGCAAGCCCTAACTTGGAATCCTGAAGGGAAGCGAAAAAGAGGAAGGCCAAAGAACACATTGCGTCGGATAATAGAAGCAGATATGAAAAGGATGAATTACAACTGGACGGAGCTAGAAAGGATTGCCCAGGACAGGGTTGGATGGAGAATACTGGTGAGCGGCCTATGCTCCTTCACGAGGAGTAACAGGCCTTGAAGTGTGAAGTGTTAGAAATTCAACTTGAATGTAATCCACCTTCTTATTTTGAAGAAACCTTGGAATTCTTGGAATAGGCTATTGTCTAATTTAATTTTAAAAAATGTTTATATATACGCCTGATTCTATCGTTATAAAAAGTACTCAAGTGATAATACAATAAGCATAGGTATGAGAATCATTGGGAAGGAATAGAAATGATAAAATCTAAAAAATGACAAATCATGATTGTTTCTGCTCGTTTCCAATTCTTTTCATAACTATCAGTAAGTAATTATTACAACGTTTTGTAATGGATTTTTTTAATTTTCACATTGATGTTTAGGACTGCATTTGATCAGTCTCTTATTAGCACATGTTCATCTTATGCTGATTACCCCACTATTGCCAGTGGCTATCTAGAATCAATAGGTAAGTGGATAACGCGATAACATTTAAGCGAACGGTACTGGGTTCGAATCCCAGAGTAAACATCAACTCTGAGATGCAGGTATATCCAGCTGACGAGTCTTGAATAGGACGAAACGTGCGTCTTGGATTCCACTGGTAGCTACTGATTATCTCTGCATATAATTATTATAACACTTTCGATGGCTAAAAAATTTGTCAGCCAAAAAATTTATTTCAGTATGTGTTCAGTTTTGTTACGGATTAAACTTAGTAAGTTTTGTCGTCATAGTGATCTCCTTTTATTTGGGGATAGAATCTACCTGAGTAGAGAGTAGCTTGCATCACTTATATCAATTAAGAAATTCATCTTTCATAACTAACTGATATAAGGCATGTCTTTATCATTTAAGCCAAATTACCTTTAACAACGCACCCTAAGAACCTTACAGGGAATAAAACCAACTGTTTTCTGCTCACTTGGTGATTTTTATGCTTTTGTAACACTAAACCAGAATCTAACAATCTATATTTCATACAACTTTCACTCAATACAGTCATATAAGACTTATTATTCTTTGAAGTTAATCACTTCCCTAAAGAACTTTTGGAAAATTCACATTTGCAGGTAGTAATTAATGCAAATATATTTTATTATGAAGCGATATATATTCAAATTATTTAGATTTATACATAACCTATTAACAATAAAAGGAAGCATCATCGATGAACAAGGAGGTTCAGGTGCGGACGTAAAGGCGAGTATTGGCAATGCAAGGGCCGCATTCCTACAATTGAGGAACATATGGAACTCAAAACAACTTTCAGCCAATAACAAAGTGGGAATCTTCAATACGAACGTCAAGGCAGTCCTACTGTACGGAGCTGAATCTTGGTGAGCTACAACCACAATCAAGAAGGTACAAATATTTCTAAATGGTTGTCTACGCAAGATACTCAACATTCATTGGCCGGATACCATCAGCAACAGCCTTTTGTGGGAGAGAACAAACCAGATTCCAGCTGAAGAGGAAATTAGGAAAAGACGATGGAAATGGATAGGACATACATTACGCAAATCACCAAACTGAATCACGAGGCAAGTCCTAACTTGGAATCCTGAAGGGAAGCGGAGAAGAAGAAAGCCATAGAACACATTACATCAGGAAACAGAAGCAGATATGAGAAGGATGAATAACAACTAGAAAGAACTGGAAAGGATTGCCCAGGACGAGGTTGGACGGAGAGTGCTGGTGAGCGGCCTATGCTCCTTCACGATGAGTAACAGGCGTAAGTAAGTAAGTTAGTAAGTATTAACAATAAAAATGGTGTCACTATTAACTTTTTATCAGAATCTATTAGAAATTGTTTTTTGTTTTTCTTTCTTGTATTTTGAATCTTTTATAATTTCAATTACTCAAAATGACAAGTTACCTTAGTTTACTTTAACTTCTTGTTAACAAGTCACTTATTATTGTATGATTGTATATGCAAACAAAAAAAAGTCCATGTCGTAAATTCCTAATTGGTTCATTTTTCATTGAATTCTAATTGGTTGATTTTATCAAAACATGTATATTTTTGAAAATTGTTTTTTTTTTAGAGGTTAATGTTCAATTGAATTGTGAATCTTATATGGAGAAAAACGGTTTTAATAAATGTACATTTTTTCAAAGTAAAACAAACAAACAAGCAAACTGAATTGTAAAATTAATTTATTAGTTAATGAATCTAGAATAAACATGAATGAATGTCTTGGATATTGATGAGATGATAAATAATGATTCATTAAATTAAGACTATTGTCTATTATTATTGTCGTATTATATTCAATTGTAATAACAGGAAGAAAAAAAGACAATTATGTACAGTTTAATAACATATTCTCATGTTACTTCTCTGTTTATATTATTAATTCTGGGAGAATTTAACATGCAAATAGTTTATAGTAAGTTATATTGAGATTATCGAGTAATTCATTTATTTTTATTATATATATATTTGAACACATAAATATTGGTACAAGGAGGAACTGAATACATATACGCCACACAAATCAATTGATTTGTATTTGAGCTGTAATACTGCACGGGTTCCCAAACCGAAGCAGGTGGTTCCTTTAGGGGGGCCATAACCGGAGCCTTCGACCTAAAGGTCTAATCCACAAGGCAGGGGAACAACATCAGGCGATGCAGTCTCATGGTAGCCAGTGACCAACAATAGGTTCATATACCACTTGTTCCTTCAGGATCCTGGAGCCCATGTAAAATATCGGTTTGGAATCAGGGTTTTCCAACTCCACTAGGTGGATCCTCTGCATCCACAAACGCCATTAAAGTGCCGGACATTTGCTTTTGGTTCTCTCAATTTCGCAAACAACCTTCATCACCACGAGAAGAAAATGAGTAGGCGTTGTCTGGCAGTGATTGCATATATATATAACTACTATTCACATATTTGCTAAATATTTAGAAAATATAATAAAAAGTCAAAGTTCACCAGAACTATAGGACATAGTAGAGTAATATATTACATAGTTCTGATAAACTTACTGTATTGTCTGAACTTATTAGTGAGACTGTTTTGATTAAGTTAATTTGTCAAGTGTTAATTTATTTTACAAATGTTTGTTGACTAAATAAAACATGTCAAACTACTTAAGTGAATAATGAACGGTTGATAACCAACGAGAATGCTTTTTATTTTGAATTTTTATGAATTGAATGGATGCTAGAGTATGATAAGATTTGACAAATGTTCTGTCTTAATTTGTGAAAATGCATATATAATAAATTATTCACTTGATTCGCAACAAAGACAATTTAATCAAGAAACTTAGCACACATAAATAAAGCTGTATAGTTTTATTTATGAGTTACTTAGCACATAAGTCTACAATCACACAGATATGTACAGCATCATTTAAAATATGATCAGAAATATTTTTATAAATAGGACTTCCCAATAATATTTCTTAAGAACAAAATGAAATGATATCTTGGACGTGGTGTTTGTGAAAGTACAGCTCAATCTTTAAATGGTAAATTGCCAACGTTTTTGGATGGTACAGATTTTTTGATCTGTTTTCTCTTTGGGTAGGATTGCTTACATCTTTGTGTAATTTTAAAAGTTATTTATAGGGCGGTTATGTGAACAAAATGAACTACGTATTTTAGAATACGGCAATTGATAGCTCAGATAGATTGTACGTCACTGAACAATGGACAAACGAATGTTGACGAAGAAACTCATTTTCCCTTTCGACTACATTTCAACTACGTATATAATTTAATACAAAAAGTTCATGTTTGTTCAGTATACTAAGTCAGTCATACAAAGAAGAGAAGAGCTGTCAGTCATGAGTAACCACCATTTGTTCAAAAAATTCTCATACGATACAACAGATTAACTGAAGTGTGCAGCTTGTGTGACTGCCTCAACATAGGTAGTTGAATTGATAAGCATACATATGAATGCGATGGATTCGGGAAGTTTATAATTGTTTATGGTCATAATTATCGGGTGATAAAAAAATGATATTTTTCTAAAGATCCTAAGATATCAAACAAGTACATTTAAAAACATACCCATATGTATATCTTGGAAAAATTTACGATTAACTAAATGTTCACTCTATACACTTGTGTACATTTACATATGAGTAAGTATTCATTGTAAGAAAATATATCAGGTCATCGTTTTTTCGCTTCACATTCATTAAATATTCATTGTATACTTACTTACTTATGCTTGTTACTCCTCGTGGAGTAGCATAGGCCGCTCAATTCATTATATACTTGTTTAAGTTATTATACTGAAAAAACAAACAATTTAGCTTAAAATTAAATTTCTTAGACAATCCTGTTTGACTTGCTTTTCTTTTTTTTAAAAAAAAAGGAAAAATAGAAAAAATAACAATTTAGACTAATTAATACCCCCCCTCCCTTTTCACTGTAAAGATAATTTAAAGAAAAAGTTTAACCTTAGAAACAATAATTTGGGTTACATTTATAAGAAGAAAAATAAGAAGTTATTTTATCCTCAGGCTCTATTATCAGTTAATATACAAATAATCAGTGTTTATAATTGAATTAAAACGAATGAAAATTTGTCTAAATTGAAGAAAAAAGGGAAATAAAATGAAAAGTTAAATTATTATTGATAAAGAACTATATATGACCACCCAATAGGTTTTTAAATTGTCTATCATTTTATTCATAAATAGTGTATAAATCTATATTCCATATCAACTGTAAGGGTTTAATTTAATATTAGATCGGAAAACAGTGTATATGTAAACATTTAAATGATTGAATATGAATAAGGATGTGAAAATTAAATTGAAAAAAGTAATATCAAAATTTATATTGGTCTATTATTATTAAGGGAAAGGTCAATTATTCATAAAATTTAGTAGATATTTTTATTTATTTATTTGAACACATAAACATTGGTACAAGGAGGCACCAAATAGATAAATTGTTCGATTTGTGTGAAGGCTAGGATACTGTACGGGTTCCCAAACCGAAGTGGATAAGTTTCTTCGGAGGCCACAACCGGTACATTCAACTTAGAGGCCTGATCTACAATGTAGTGGAGCAACGTTAGAAGATACAGTCCCATGGTAACTGAAGCCCAACAATAGGTTCATGTACCATTTGTTCTCTTAAGATCCTGGAGCCTACGTGTAACACTGGTTTCGAATCAGGGTTTTCCGACTCCCGTATATAGATCCTTCATATACACTAACCCGATTCAAGTGCCGGACATTCGTGTTTCGTCCTCTGAATTTCTTAAACAACACCCTCGCCACGAAAAGGCAATGAGAAGAACTTACCTGTCAGTGGTTGTATGCACGTGGCCATGTGGCAGAATTTTGAGAGACAGAGGACCTTTCCCACTCTCGGCCGTACCAGATTATTTGAGGGCATTTTGTGTACAATAAAAGTTAGAAATTTATGTATAATCAATTTGTTCCGGTATGATTGTCTTCAAAATTTGTACACGTAAACTTATATCCAGGAGTGAATCTAACATATTTAAGTTAGTGAATATTTTTAGGTTCATTCAACCTATGACATATTGTGATCTTCACTTAATGATTCATTATCTTAATATTGAATTAACTTAATCTATAAATGATAAGTTCGCACTAGATCTTCGGGAGAACTATTTCGAAACTATTCACTAATGAATCTAAGTCTTTTAAAAGGTTACATATGTTTAATTTTTAGTGGTCCTATATCTGATTCCAGTGAGATCGGACAAATGATCATTATTGAATGATTGCTGACTAAATACCCATGTTGGCTATCCTCGTATATAATTATCGACTTAAATCACGTTAGCGTATAACGGAGTTAAATAAATCAAATACAAGAATGAATTTCGAATATGTATATTTCATACAATCGTTGATCTAAACAAAAGATTGGAGAAGCGAAGAGAAGAGAGGAGAGTGAAATGACATGTAGTGACGCGACAGTATTTGAGCCGACTCAATTTAACCAAGTGTTAGTTAATATTTATAGTCATACAAAATAAGTTACAAGTATGTGACGAATAGAATAAGAAGTGTACACACATAAACGCTAATATGAAAACAGTCAGGGCTAATAAGTGAATAATTAACAAGATCAGAATGTGACTCAAAAAGAATGGATAGAATGAATTATATGGGCTTAACATAGTAACGGACACTACACATTTACACTGAATCATTACAAATGTTATATCCTCTTTGAACTCCCTAATATTAGAATTAATTAATGTGAAATACAAAAGAAATTTCCTTAAGAATTTTCCCAATTATATTGATGAATATATTTATATACATAAATTAATCTTTATGAAATATAATCATATTAGGATAATTTCGTTTTTATTTATAAGAATAACAATTCTTGTTATGATTGTTTGTTTAACTAAAATGATTCACATGGTTTGACAACTAACCAATGACCAACCGAATAATTACTTCGTGTTAGGATTGATTCATGGGGGTTGTGCAATGTATGAACTTCTTCATCTCTCCGTCACCTTCCCTTCTTCTCACTCTCTCTCTATATATACTAATTGTCTTGTCTTTAGACTAAGTAACAAATTAATTAATTAACTTTCACATGTCAAATAGTTTTTTATCATATTTATTTAAAGATATGTCAATGTCATTTATAACCTACCGCTTAAAATTAAAATCATGAAAAGAAATCTAATAAGTATTGTTGCTGTGTTTCTAATGAAGTGTAATAAGAAAATTTGGTAAACATTAATGTGATTTAAGGTAAGAAAAGTGAATAACTAATGTTCTTTATCAGAAGGGGTTTGTGGAGATTTTAGGAATTTCAATAGTTGAAATTACTACAATCTCCACAAAATACCTGATATTAATCAACATATGCTTACTAGTGACTGGATTCAAGAGGTATATCCTGGAGTTCTAGTGAAAAGCAGTAATCAGTGGAGTTCAAAAGGATCTGTTGTGAGATAGTAATTCATTGATGACTATGGTAGATATGTCACTCAATTTTGTGGATCAGTTGAAGTTAGACATTAACACCATTGCATGCCGTCTGGTTCAGTGGTCTAGTGATTAAGTGTTCACGCGTGATAATGATAGGTCCTGGGTTCGAGATCGTAGAGGAGTCCCACAGTATGATAAAAGGCCATTCATTAATTCTAGGTTTTTGGTGGTGGTGTAGTTTCAATTGATTCATGTTCTCAACTATTGGTGTAATTATTTAATTTAATAATGAACTTGAAGGATTTACACGCAGAATTTGTCAAGAATAAAGAAACCTGTAAATAAATTAGTGTATCTAGACTACGTGTTAGTCAAAATTTAGGGCAATAATTACACGTCGATTACTGAATGAAGATTAAGCTCGGCTTTTTTTAATCAGTTGACGTTTAAACCTATGAGCCACAGGTTTGAACTTTAAGACAGAG